GAGATTCTAAAGTCAATTTTATTGAATAAATTTATTCTTTAGTATTTCAAGATATTTTTATGTAATTTTGGTAAATATATCTATTAAAATGAGACATTATGTTATTTTCATTTTTGTATAATTTAGACAATTTATCCATCACACCCTGTGCATATAGGTAGAAAAAAGCGAAAAAGATAAGATTGCAAGGGTCACAAAACACTGGCCCGGGCTCCCAAGAAGGAATTCAGGAGTAGCATGCACTGGCCCTGAGCCTAGGGGCCCCCAAAAAAGTTACAATTTAGTGCTATTGATGCCCCTTACTTTTATAGTCATGAACAATGGCATCTTAGCAGATAAAGTGGGGTAATCCCTACAACTTTGTCACTTTACAATTTTTTAAAAATTACAATCTCATTTTAGGTCCTTAAACCTCTCGCAAATCAGGAACTGTCCATTTCTGACTGAAAATGTTTCATGTTTAAGTTTTGTTTTTCAATTTTTATTCAATAGTATCACAAACAAATTGGTATTAATAGAAAATATAATTAATTTAAAATTATCACCTTTCATCAACTTGAAAATAAGAACAATTTTAACAAACAAATAAAACTCCTGGTGAATGCCAAGTTTACAAATAACAATATTTATTTTAATCAAAACAAAAATAATGTTTCTTACAAGAATTGATATTGTCACAAATAATAAAATGCTGAGTAAAAGTCCAATATATGATAAATACAATTTTCCAGAAGTAAATAAAAAATATCAAACAATTCTAATTTATACTTTCCCTTTAAATATTTACAAACTAAAACACAAATATTGTATTCAAAATGTATTAAAATTAAATGATTTATATGTATCTTTAGAACAGTCCAAAGGGGAATTGTACATTGAGTCATTTAATTGTAAACATTTTGATTTGAGAGACAGAAAATTAGCTCTGAGCAGATTCAATACAAATAGTGTGAACATACTTTTAAAGTAAGCTTTTTTTTAACAAAATATTTATTAGAGGATGTAATTTACTTTGAGTATCTTAGTTTGGGCACAAGGCTGCAAGTATGTGATACTCAGTGAGGATTGAAATTACTGCTCAGGCGTAATGGTCAATTAAACCAACCCATGCTGCAGTGCCTAAATTGGAAATTGAATAAATGGTAAAGTTGTAGTACAGTCACTGATCAGAAATAATCATTAAAATTGTTTTTTGTTTTTTTTTTTCATTTTAATATAGATTAATCGTGAATATTGAAAAAAATAAAGAATTAAATTTTATAAAAGATAATAGGGAGGAGTTCCAGTTTGTAAATTCATTATAAATTGATCCCCACTATGGTAGCCCAAACAAATATGCTCATACAGCGTGATTTCTGAAAAAGTAAAAATAAAGAAAATATATATTTTTTTAAATTCATAATCTGGAATTTTAATCAATTCAATAGCAATATATGAAGAATGAATACCAGATTACAAATTCCATTTCTTTTTTTAGTTAAATTTTAACTTTTGGATTTTCGTAGGGGGATTAGTTTTACTTATGCGTGTACATAGCCAACTGGACCCCAGCCACTTAACTTTTACTTTTATAAAACAATATTCACAACCTGGAATGTTTAAAAAATGTATGAATTTATAAGCATACTACTTGATTAGATTAGCAACTATGTCTCACCGTTTTACTGTAGGAATAGCTAGATGTAACCATATGTTCTATTCTAATAGTTTCTTTCTTTGCATATCTGGCCTGTGGAACTACATTCCAATCTTAAAAAATTTAAATGTGACATCAGTCGCCATCTTCTATCTTCCTGAATCCTGTTCCTTCATTGTCATTTTTCTCACTTCTCTCCACTAAAGTCTTCTCATTCTCTTTCACTCCCTGTAACCCTCTGCACCTTGCTTGGTATGAAATGATCAGAAATAGTAATAACATGAAAATGTGATTATTTCTGATCTCAGTGCCTACTCCACCAAACACTGTTTTCACTTTTTGAATCAAAAGATCACTTAGAAAACATTCCAATCATAAGATTTACATACAATTGGGTTTTGCTTTTCTGAACAAGATTTGAAAGGTTGGTCGTAAGGTTTATGGCTCTGATGACGTAAGGCCAGCAATTAGATTATAATGAATTGAAGAAGGTATTGTATTGCTATATATATATATATATATATATATATATACTGAATGGGATGAAGAAAGACAACTGAGAAAGTGGGATGGCAGAAGTAAATGCCCTGTGGCTTGTGTATGAACAAAGGTACATAAAAAAATTATTGAACATTGTCTAAGAGTCTTGCTTTCTGCATCTCGGGGCCATGTTGAGGAATTTCACATCATAGAATAAGAAATATGTCCAACATATTGAATGAAAATTCAATAACTTTGTACAATAAATAAATCTTCTACAACTACATTCTACAATAATACATTGATCTTGCTGTGGACACATTCGCCTGTCAATAAATCAATTAACATGGCATTAAAAACAAGTGGTTAAAGAATGCTAGCATACAACAGTTTATGCTTATTAAGTAACTAATATTTGTTTTAAATGAGAATAATTTAACTTCAAATTTGCTAATTTTCCTCAAATAACATTTCAGAAATATATATTTTCTTTTTGCAAGATTTTTAAAACCGAGAATTAATTTTTGTTTACAATGTGTCAAAAATGGCCATTTTTATCGATTTTACTGAAAAAAAAATCGATTCTGATCAATATAATTTCTGTTTGAAATACATCATAGAGTTTTTACTGGAAATAGTAAATTTTAAATCCTTTAGCTTTCAATTAAAGCTAAAAAATGAAAGCTTCAAGAAATTCTTTTTAAAGCTTTTATGTATACCGAATTAGTGGAGGTAACTACAATGTTGAATTTTTTTTTTTATTTTAAATAAGCTCTTTAACACAAGAAGAGTGAAGTAACAGAATCAATAACATAAAAGAAAAATCTTAAAGAAAATGACAAGCGTGGAAAGAAACAAAAGGGTAAGCCTATTGAATTAATTAACTCAAAGAAAATAAACATAAAAATATAAATTTTTTCTTCTTGAGGTTTGTCTTTTCTCCCCAGATGTACAGGGTGGTCTGAAAGTCTTGTCACCCTAACGCTCTCTTCCAAATTGTAGGAGCTCGCGCCAAACACCCGAAAAAAAAAAAAAAAAAAAAAAAAATTATGTAAGGTGTGACAAGACTTTCGGACTATCCTGTAGATCATAAGGCCTGATTTCAAACCACAACAAATTAATAACGGAAACGTTTAATTATTATTAGCTATTAAAAATTTGGGGCTAATGTTGAAAATTTGAAGAACATTTTTGTTACCTAACTGGTAAATTACAAACAACTTATCCTGTGTCGAATTAACACACATTCTTGGGTGATTTTTTAGTTCTTGTTTAAATGTCCATAAAATGTTTTCTCCACCTTCCGATGTCAAACTGTAAATTCTTTTTTTGTCGCACCCGTAAATACAGTTGTAACAATCACTGCAGATATCAGACGTCATGTCTTCAACAAATGTTATCCGGTGATATATCAATAATTCACTATCTAGGCGGTGGCAGGATAATGTCTGTGATGTGATGTTTAGCATCCAGAAGGTGTCCTCGAACTTACCTGTGCATATTCTGTGTGACACGCTGTAGTCTGTTTGGTTGGTACTTGAAATAATAGAAGTCACAACATTACCATTGGAGTCTAACAGATCAACATTGGCATTATGGTCACAGGCTAGTACACCGGTGTTAGATTTAGTAAGTGAAACGTATTTTTTGGTGCCAGTAGACACTGCCAAACTAACTGCGAGTAAGCATTTCCCCGTGCATCTTTGGAGCAACAATATTTTTGATGTTTGTGGTAGCGTAACAAACAGAACTGAATTTGAAAACGCACACAAATCCCACGCTATTCCTGAAATATCACATCTGCATATAAGTTTGCCTTCAGGACTGAACTGAGTAATTTTTTTGCTGTTACGATCACAGACAAAAACATGCTCATCATCAGTAATCGTTAGTCCACGGACGTAGGTGTTTTTTTCTAGAATCAGTGACTGTTGACCCAAGACTTTCAAAACTGGCATCTGACGAGGAAAATAATTTGTATCGTTTGATCCAACTTCACTCTCCGCAATTTTTTCTCTTTCATCGAGATCACAGCCTCTGTTGATAGAAGTCACATTACTGGCACTTGTACTGTCAAAATCACTTTGCAGGCTAGAAACATCAGAAAATGTACTGAAAATACTCCGATAGCTGTTAGCGCTCACATCGGAATCGTTACTTTTGGTATAATCTTTTTTATTGTAGTCCAAATTTCTTGCAATATTTTTATTAACAGGACTTTTGCAACTATCGGTGTCCTCGACGTTCAAGTTACCATCACTTATGCTCTGATCGTCAAAGCTACCCTCATAAAGCAAAAAAGGATTAGATAAATTCCTTTGCATAAAGTCGCTATCATCACACTGAGTTCCGGTATCAGTTTTGCACTCGGCCCAAACTGGATCCAACGTAGTTTGCTGACCACTGGTATCAACAAGTTTGTTTCCGGAAATTAAGCATGTTTTTCCAAGAACCAAATTAGGAACGTCCCGATGCAAGTCCAGGTAATCCTGACTGTATTCGACCTCAACGTATATTGGATTTGCTTCCATGATGGGTAGAAATTTGTCAATGTCAAGACTGTCCGTTTTTGATTTAATATCTTTAAATGCAGAAACAAGATCGGCATCATTAGCAAATCTTAAAAGCTCGTTCAGTTTCGACTGAAGACATTCAACCTCTCGTAGATATGCATTCCAAGTGACAGACTTGCGTTGTAATTTAGAATTTTGGCAATGAGTCTCAGATTGAATTTGGGAAATTAAAAGTGCGAGTCTATGACGTAACGATGTAAATAGCACTTCCAATTTGTTCCAAAGACTTTCACATTTCCTTTCGGATTTTTCAGTCAATTCGGACATGATTTCATCAAGAAATTTTGATTGCTTCACCGCCTGCTCCTTAAATGAGAATAAGCTTTCAAGCAGAGCTGCTCCTTGTGCCCGTTTTTCTGTTGCTATTAAATCGAGGGAGAGAGGAGACGGGCAAGTTGTCATTTTTTTCTGCCCGTCTCCATTATGATGTCTTTCCCAGCAAGCGACACAAAGACAAACGTGACATTCATCACAGTACAATGTGATAGGAAGTTTGTGTTTATCACACGTGGAAACCGGCATCACATCTTTTAGGGACAGTTCAGTGGGGTTCGACAAGTTCGTCACATCGTGTTCGGGGGTCAGTTCTTCATGAAACGAGATGCAGCTTTCACAAAAGCATTTATCGCAATACCGACAGTAGAAATTCCCCGAATTTTGTAGATTCTTCATTTTGCACAAATCGCAATTACCTCCACTGTTTTTTAGGCTTGCAGCTCGCAACAAGTTGCTACTCCATGAAGAATCATTTAACTCCGTGTCCATTTCATTGAAAATGGTGTTGCTTTCACTTTCAAGTGGTGACGTTGAGTATATTGAATGATAACTACTACTACGACTGTCAGTATAGTTTTCAAACTTTTCATTGTTAAAAGGGGTCTTCAGAATGTCTTCGTTTACTATTTGCTTGCTAAAATTCTCTTCTTCACAGCTAGAACCGTCATTCTTCAGCATCAATGAACAATGATCTACATCAGCCATCCGTACTGTTTGACTTTTAACAAGTGACTATTCGTCTTCATACGCGCTTTGTGCTTTTTATTTTGCCTGCTGACTGCTATTTACGCGCGTAAGAGAGGGAGGTAAAGAATATAGTCCGTTTTTAAACTTTGGCTTGTTGTCTTATTTTTTTTAATTGGCCTAATTACAGCAATGAGATTTATTTCTAAATCTCATAATTTTTTTACCTAAATGATCTACTATCTGTTTTTATTATTTTGAATGTTTACAAAAGAAAAGAAAAGAAAAACGGAACTTCGTGTAAGTTACAGTCTCGGTGTTTAAAAGAGAGTTGACCTTTGTACATAAACAAACGGTTTTACACTTTGACTCCAGACAATCATTCTATGATTCCATCCCATTCATTCCTCAGGCCCATTCGGCCGCGTCCATTTATAACTTTAAAAAAAAAAAATTAAAAAAATCAACATCGACTTTCCGTGCTGAACAAAAGTCAGTTTGAATTGAGTTTTGGAAGAGGTTTTATTGTTTACATTTCTTTTTAGTTTAACCATAAACTATTTAGCTAGCTTCAATATCGTTACCATAACGATATATTGATTGAAGGTGAAGCTAGCTAATCAGTTTCTAAAGCCACACCACCTTTTTTCGTATTCTAATTCTGACTAAATTTAAGCGTATGTGTGTACGCGCGAGAACCCAGAATGATAAGAGTTGTTGGGTCATGATAACATTTTCTTAGAAATTTATGCTGATAAACACAACTATCCTGTCTTAGTAGTAAAAACCTGTCCTACCTAACACAACAGGTTCGACAAAGGAAAGCAAAACTGGCAACTACTCTCAAAAAAGGACCTTCAATCAGTGGTTAAGTGGGGGAAATGAATGGCTTTTTGACTAGGCATCCCAAACTATTTTCTCTTCAATAAAAGCTTTTCATGTAGAGTGTGACAAAACAAAAAAATAGTACCACATAGCTCAATTTAGCCTATTAGCAACTGGATTATGATGACCATTCAAAGGCAAATTTGATCATTCATATAAATTTCAATTCTACAGTTAAATCATTGAAATTTCTTAATATATTTCATAGTCTGTCAGAGATTAAGCTAATTTTTTTTTCACAGGAGTACATCACTAAAAACAACTCTTATTTCACCGTGTAAGTACAAGCGGAAGCAAAATTTGATAGTACGGCTAAAAAAGGGTGAAAAATATAACTTTTTGAACTTGCTGAAAAAAAATAGGATCTGATGGAGGTAAAAGCCTGAAACTTTGAAACTTTACTCATTTTGAGAAGGGGAATTCAACAAAAGAGTAATTTTGTCTATAATCTTAAAACTTTTTCTCATAAATATATTTGAATTTTAGAAAATTTTGTAAATTTATACATTTTTTTACTTTCCTAAAAATATATGACATCAAAACTTTGAAACGTGAGTATCAATTTGTATATAAAGAGATTGAAAATCAACTATAACTAGAGTCAATAAATTAATTTTGTCCATTCTTCATTGCTGTGGTCATTGTAACATACCCAGAGATGAAATACGACATTTGCATGACAAACTGGCAACCTTACATGACTAAACTGCCCTTGATATGTTGAAAAAAAATACCTTGTGGTCAAGCGGAGACTACATTTGGATACATATATACTTATACATATATATATATACTTCCTACTGGACTCTTTCTCTCTCTCACTCTCTTATACTCCAGGACTATTACACATTAGCTATTGAAATTTCAACTTTCACTTTATCTTTCTGTATTATATTATAATATATAAACATTTATTTTGTATATATCAACACTTTGTGTATTTTCTTTAAGTTATTACACAAATTATGTTTTGGCAAAGTTCTAGAGGCTCTAATTAACTCTGGAATGGTTAAGCATTTCACCTTGCAGGGTCTTCTCTTACTACACAAGGTCAACTGCTAATGTATTAATGACACCTGCTGAAAGAGTTTTCAAGCTGGTGAAGCTTGGGCTGTTGCTTTGGATATTTCAAAGGCATCTGACAGAGTTTGGCATACCGGTCTTCTTTACAAGTTGAAAGGTTATGGTATTTCTGGGTTAATTTCTGAACTGATTCAGTCTCTGTTATCAAATCATGAAATGAAAGTTGTCTTGAATGGCCACTCTTTTAGATTTTTTTTTTTTTTTGCATTAATGCAGGTGTTCCCAGAGGTCTATTCTTAGACCTACATTGTTTCTAATTTTCATAAATGACCTTCCTGATGTCTTAAGTTCTCCACTGAGTATCTATGCTGATAACAGAACTATTTGCCCCTGTCTTAATAGTAAAATTAACATGACCTACAATCTGCTGTTAATTGGGGCAAGGAATGGCTTGTTAATTTTAATGACTCCAAACTGAAACTGCTCTCTTTTAATCATCTGAATGAACCCTTTTTATCTTCCATCAGCATGACTGATGCTAATCTCATTGCACCTTCTTGGGTTAATGTTTTCCACTGACATGAAGTAGAAAGATTATATTGAATCAGCTGCTAGTTCTGTTGTTAACAATATTGGTTCACTGTGTCATGCTAGACAATTTTTCTTGCCAGAATCTATCTTACATATTTATAAGTTTATCATTTGTCCATGGATTGAATATTGCTGCCACATCTCATCTCGTGTTTCTGCTATACATTTAGAGATTCTTGATAAAATCCAAGAATCTGCAATGTTATTGGTCCTGACCTGGCATCCTGGCTTCAGTCATTTTCTCAATGCCACAACATAGCTTCACTATACCTTTTCTATAAATACTTTTATAATAATTGTTCTGATGAACTTTTTCTATGGTACTTGGACTTTAGGAATTTAAGCACAGTACTAGACTGGTAGCAAGATCTCAGCATTCTACAGTTGAAATAGCTAGATGAGTAAGTTCTATGCTAACAGTTCCTTCTTTCCTACTTCTTGCTTGTAGAATTATCTTCCAGCATCTTGTTTTCCAGTTAACTTTGATCTTTAAAAATGTAAATGCAAATTCGTTATACTCTGTCTTCTTAATTCCTGTTCTTTTATTGTTCTCTTTCCTTAATAATTTTTTTTCTCATATTCTCTTACATTGAGTAACCCCTTGCATCTTAGTGGCTTTATTATCTTGCTTGGGGTGAAATGAAAAAAGCAAACAAAAGTTCAAAGAAGACTAATCTCAGGTGACATTTTAGACAAAATATTCTGATTTTAGAAACAGACATTCACAAACATGATATAGCATTTCATATGTTTAGAAAATACATTCAAATATATGAGAAATATCTCTAGTTTTTGAGGCAGACATTCATAGTTATGTGATGATTGTCATAGGTTTTTAAGGATTTTTTATATTTCTTATTCTTTTGCAGCAGTATTTTTAGTATTTTTCCTTATTAGCAGTCCCTTTCTTGTCTGAGTTTAGTTGATCTGTTACTGAACATGTCATACCAAATTACTCTTTTATAGAAAATTTGCTCTTATAAAAATAAGATAGCATTTTATTCCCTTTCCAATTGTCTGTTTGCAACTTAGATTTGATCATGTTAAACAATGAACATGTTTTTTCATAAATTGATTGGCCATATTTTGGTGTATTTTCCCCACGAACAGCTCAGATTCATTTTTTTTGCAATTTTTTATACTGGTTTCATTTCTACATTTTTTTAAAAAAATGAAACCATGTCAATAACTTTCTAATTTTTTCATGCAATTCTAATATATTTTTTATTATAAATAATTTTTACATAATTCTGTTATACTCTGTTGTAATTAGATCACTGTCTGATTCACATTTCACCTAGATGTGAATGCTAAGAAAGCAAAACACAAAATAAAAAAAAAAGTTGTTTTCTGTGCAGTGGCTCTTGGCATTCCCAAACAATTTGATTACAAAAACTTTTAAAAAAAAAGATGACCCTGGGGACCACCAGATTTGCTTTTAAAAGAAATCTTCTTGAAATTAAGGTGCATTATCCAAAATCAAACCATGCCTCTCCCAAGTTTCAGTAATATCCAAACACACAGAACGTGGTGATTTATTTTCCGACACCCCAAAACATGTCATCTTCACTATGTTGTTGTTAATCTCCCAAAAGAATCAATAGAAAATTCTGGAATTGGTTTAATTGTCAACAAATTTATTCCGCTACCTTTTTGGCTTCAGTATGAGGAAATATAATGGCCCATCAAGAATAAGAACTTCAACACTGAAAAAGACAATCAACAACATCGAATGTTTAAACATGAATGATCTGTTTTACCCACAGCAAAAGCTATTATCACTTTGTTCCATCTTTCCAACTTGATGTTTCTGGAATACACATAAAATTTTTGCTCATTATAACAAATTTCCTAAGAGCCCATACATATCTACTATAAAATGTCAGTAATATCAAAAGTGGTGATTTATTTTAACCCCAAATGTCATAGTTGTTGTCAAAAACAATAGAAAATTGGAATTGGTTTAATAACAAATTTATTACCTTTTGGTATGAGGAAATATAATGTAGAATAAGAACAAATGTTGGAGTATTTTTATGTCTTTCATATGACAGCCAAATCCAAACTTGTCGGGGTATATTCTCCTTCATGACACCTCCCCTTTTGAGATTTCACCTTCTCTGGAGGCCATACCTCTTTCTTTTGGGATCTATGTCCAGGATTTCTGTTGGACTTTTTTTTCTTTTACTAATCCTTTTAGTAAAAATTGTTTCTGGTATAGGTACATCAAATACATTGTATAATACCTTCATTGGTTCTTCCATTCTTGCAATTTTACTATCAGAGTACTTTTTCTTCAGTTGGTTTCCGTGGTGTTTATGTACCAACCCTCAACCTTCAATCATATATAATACTCTGCCAAGACATTTTTTAATTACACTTTCTTCCCAGTCTTCCTTATTCTTTTTATAAATTTTAAAGAAAATTTTTTTGACTGGGTTAAAATATTGAACAGTATTGGTTTTCTTTTTTTGTGTCCATTTTTTTCTCAGACAACAGTCTATCAAATACAGATTTAACTTTTCTAGCAAACATCAAATCTGCTCAAGACATATTTTGTCCATTGCATACAAAGTTTGTTGATGGGGTGGGGGGATCGTAGATGAAAGGTTTGTCTGTATTTCTAAATTTCCTTATTTTTCTTTGATTTGATTTGCAGTGTGACTGTATATGTCCCCCCCCCTCCGCCACAATTAATGCTTGTCATTATATGGACAGTCTTTTTTAAAATGTCTTTTCCACAGCCATAACAGAGATTTGGCTTAACAAAATTTTTCTTATTTGTTCTACTACAACAAGGGTTAGACTTTTCAAAATTTCTCTTATTTATTTCTTGACATACTGTGGGCATTTGGAAGTTTTCTCTATCTTCAGTTTTTTGAGTATCATGCCTGAGATTTTCTGTTCTGTTACATTCATCACCTACTTTCTGGAGCATTAAATTAGTGTCTTGCTTAAGTCTTGCTAGAATTCGGGCACGAATTTCAGTGTCTTTATTCCCCATAAGGCCCTGGACAAAAATTAAGCATTTAAACATTCACAGAGTTTGAATTTCTCACATTGATGATTAATAACTGTAGCATACATTAAGTAGCCTTCATGCTACTTTTTTTTTTTTTACTAAATTCATGCAATTCCAAGAGGTGTTAAAAAGTGAGCTTTTATCACTGACTATTTTTCAAATAACAGAATTGTCTCTTCAAATGTGATATCTGCAGCTTTCTTAGGAAGTATATCATTTATTTCTGATGTTCCACAGGTCCTAATTTCCATAGCAGTAGCCAAACTTTTCTTTCATATGTCCATCCGAGAAAACCTCATTGAAATAAAATAAAAAGTTGTTCCTGTATCAGGATTATAGTTGAATTCACAAATAGAATTTGAAATAAAATATTGAGTAATTACAGTTCCTTCGTTATCTGACTTTTAAAAAAAATTTCCAACATTTCTTTATATTGTTGGTTCTGGTTTTCCAATATTTCTTTATATTGTTGGTTCTGGCATTCCTGCTGCTGTTGTTGGTTTAAACATACTTCCTGCATTTGTTTCATGCTTTGTTGTTGGTGTTTTAATAGTTCCAGCATAAGTTTTAAATTCCTCCATACTGATAGAAACTTTTTTTTCAGGTTTAAAGATAAAAAAAATCCACTGTACCTTTTATTCAGGCATGTTTTTTGAGTTCTTTTCGTTGTTAACTTGTTTTTAGTCCTACTTAAAAAAAAACCTTGATCCTCGTGTCACGAAACTGTTGTAACTGAGTTATCAAAAAAAAAAAAAAAAAAAAATAGTAGAAAACTGGAATTGGTTTAACAACAAGTTTATTACCTTTTGGTACAGGGAAACATAATGTAGAATAGAAACCAGAGGGAAGAATGTTTAGCTGTGAATGACTGTTTTCGGTAAAGGCTACTGATATTTACCAAAGCCTCCCCACAAGCCTGTTTTTTATGTGTGGTGATTCCAAGCACGTAGGCTAAGGCAAAAATTCCCCATAGACCCCGCATACATGGGGTCAGGTTTGTCTACCTCCCCAGATGAGACTCTGCCTGTAGGCATAGCCTTGTCTGGGTTCCTCTCTGCCTGAAGGTACAGAGTTTGATAAGTGTGTCACAAGCCTGGAAGTGAACTGCCTGACTCAGTAAAGGTGACTGCTCTTGATGTAGGACTATTTTTATGTCTTTCATCTGACGACCGAGTCCAAACGTGAAGGGAAATATTCTTCCTCACAACAATAATAACCTGCAACATGCTGATAAATCTGGTTAATTTCAAATACTTGTGTATATGTGCAAATAAATATTTAATAAATGTTACTAAACCATCACAAAGATAAACTATCAAAATTATTAAGTCTCACCTAATCCATAAACTTTATCCCAATTTGATTAATAATAAACTTCTTAAAAATAGTAAGTTATTTTTGTTATTATTAATTAGGTTTACCAGTAATCGTGGTTTGAGGGGGCTTTCAGTGTCCTCATAGAGATAAGTTATCAGTGTTTTTTTTTTCTTTTCCTTCTTTTGTGTGTATATATGTCAGCCCTGAACGTTAAGAGGTTTTGGGCCATGAAAATACAGGGTGGTGAGACATAATTTGCACTAAAAGTTTTACTTTTTTTTCTCATGAAGCAGGTCAACTAATTTTAGGAAATCTGGTGCATTTTATTATCATAACCTTGCATAATAATTACCCACATTTTTTTCAGATAAGGTGTGTGATATGATAAACACACATGTTTATCCACAGAAGATTCCAAGCATTGTTGGAGTATCTCTACAGACAGTTTTTAATGTGAAGAAAAGAATGACTATGAGGAAATATATTCAGAGAAAGCCAGGAAGTGGTGGAATCAACAAAAAGCACAATAATGGTTTCAGCAACACTCTCAAATCCCAAATCTCAAAAGACCCAAATGAAATCCATGAGAAAATTTGTAACTGAATTTAATGTGGATCCTAAGACTATCAGAATAATGGTGAAAGATGACTTGAAACTAAAATCTTACACAAGAACACCAAGATATTTGCTGACATGGCCCATGAAGGCTAGAAGATTGGAAAGATGCAAAAAGTTCTTACTTATCTTAAAAGAAACAAGTCCACTGTGAAAATTTTCTCAGATGAAAAGATATTTACTGTTGATGCTGTTTGGAATCACAGGAGTGACAGATACAACACACAAAATCTCATGTCAAGGGCGCTTTCAGAGTGAAGCATCCAGCTCAAGTTTTGGTATTTGGGGTTGTGGCCTTTGATAAGAAAAAAATACCTATCAAATTTTACAAACCTGGTGAAAAAGTTAATGCTGATGCCTATTACAAGACTGTGAGATACAATGTATTACCATGAGTCAAAGCCAGAGGGAAACTATGTATGGACTCAGGATGGTGATTCTGGCCATACAGCCAAAAAAATACAGAATTTCTGCAAATCCAATTTTGCTGAGTTTTGGCCATCAGACATTGGCAATGTTCCAGCTCAGATTTCAACCTTCTAGATTATGCTGTTTGGAGTATTTTAAAACATGCTACTAATAGAACCTCACATGAAAACATTAACTCTCTTATGGATACCATCAGAGAAGAGTGGGAAGATGTCATCTGGTTTTTTGGAGAAGAGTGGTTGAAGTTTCAGGAGACGTGTGGAAGTAGTAATTGAGAAAAAAGGAGAACATATTGAATAAAATGTTTCTTTCATTTTGTATTTATATGTTGGAACCATTTGTTTTCTGTAAATAAAGTAATTAATCAACTATAGGGCTTTTTATTTCAATACCAAAATTACGCAAATTTTGCCACCCCACCTTGTACTTTATAACACAAGAACTTAAACCTATAATAAAAACTGAAAACTGTTCTGGTTTGAAGTTTGGAAATTATTGTAAATCTATGATGAGTACAAAAATGCTTTTTAACATATGAAACTGGAAATAAAGGATCCATTCTGTTTGAGGATGGTGATAGTAGCAATAAGCATGTGTATTTGTGGGTTTATGTGCTTGATCATGGATGTTGACAGAATACACAATCTTTTTATAAAGCAATTTAAGATTTTGACCAGTAACTGGGTTGCTTAATTATTTGTTTCATGTCTTGGTCTAATAGATACAAAAGAAAGACATTTTTTTAAAATATAACTAAAAACATTGGAACCAGTAGTATTCTTTAAGATCTTATTGTATTTATTTAGTGAAGCCTTTTTGTTTAATTATGCTTTTTCAGCTTTAGTCATTCTGTCATCTGAATATGACACAAATCTATTACACTGTAATATTTAGAGCATCAAATGAACTTAAGTAGTAACCTGTTGTCAAGATATCAGTAACATCTAATCCCATGAAAAATGAGAGGAGTTTGTTTTTTGCCTTACTCATTTTCTTTGATAGCCTTGATATGGATGTCATGCATGGCACCAAACCCATTCAGATATATGTAAACTGTCAGTTGTATACAAGAACTGGACCAAAAGCAGAAACCACAACACTTGAGGACTTTTAACAGCAGCAACAGCTATCACATTCAACTGGAAGAGAAAATAATGACATAATAAAGATATTGACGTTCCACACTACTTCAAGCAGAATCTTCGGAAAGAAACCCCCATCAATACTGGAAAGGGCGATAAAAACGACTGGACATGAAAAATATATTTTTCTGAAAAATTGTTTTAATAGAAATTTCTTCCGATAGCAATACTGCCCCCTAGGTCAATGAATGCCAATGTTTCTTTATAAGGAAAAGCTAATTACCATTAGCAATAAATAGAAGACCCGAGCCTGAGATTTCTCTCCCTTGAAAATTAATCAGTGAAAGTTACCTCCCTTGTGTTAGTCACTACCAATCGATAAAGAGTGTTGTTATCGACGTTCTACTGAAATATTTTTTCCGGTTCTTATTTAAATCCTATCGTTATGGACAGGTTCGAATGGTGTGATGGCCAGTTGGCTATGGATGAGAATTTGGTTGTGCAGAAATCAGGTGTAGCTCTTTACGATGGACAAGAGAAGGTGAGTTTTTTTTTTCTAGAAAATTGTATCTGATTAAAAAAAAAAAGTATTCAATTTTTTTTTTTTTAGTTTCTCTTCATTCAGTCATTAATGTGTAGTAGATTTTTAGTGTAATTTATAAAAGTTCATGAATAAACTAAATTTTTAAAACAAATTTAGCCACCACCAGTACATTTCATTTTTTCATGTTGAAAATTTAATTTTAGATTACGGTTTGCTGTAATGAGTTCATATGACAAAATAAATGTGAAATCTTAAAGATTAAAATCTTTTTAGAAGAAAATGAACAACCAACAAAAATAAATTAAAAAAAAAATTTAGTGTTGTATAAATTAAATGTGTTTCTTATTTATTTTCGTTTGCCAGCACAATGTGTGAGACAGGATAACAGTTTGTTTTTGTAACGATGTGTCAAAAGTCCATTCATCACCCTCGTCGGTCCTTTTGAACAGGAGTAGAGAGGTTCATTGTTTCCTGTTTAGGATTGGGTTTTTGCAGTTCCTTCTAATTAAGTCTTTTCATCCTCTTTCTCTCCCAGTCGCCCTTTATTTCTTAGTGGCATTATCGCCTTGCTTTGGGGTGAATTGAATTAAAAAATCAAAAACGAAACTCTGAGTAATCATGTCTTTCTACAACTGCCTTTTTGTTTGTTTAACTTTTTTAGTTCATTCACACAAACTCGGTAAGTTACTCTCTTTTTATGAAAGAAAAATTATTTAAAATTAATAATTTTTGTTTTCTTTTAAATCTTAAAATATCTTCATTTATTTGAATACCTTTAAAAAGCGAAATGTTTTTGGGTTTGCCAGGTTAAAATTTGGTTAAGCCAAATAAAAAAACAGCCAAAATAAACATGATTTTTTTTTTTTTATTTTATTTATTAATTAATATATAGTGGGATTTTTTTTTTTTTTTTTTTGTTTTCAAATTCACTTCATTATTTGTTCAATTTTAAACATTTCTATAGTGAATATTTTCTTTTAGCCTGGAAATTTAATTTATGTAACTATAGTCCAAAAAAAGTGTTTCGCTGGAAGACTTTTTTGTTTTTAGAATTTTTTTTAATAATACCTTTTTTATGATTTAAAAAAAAAAAAAAGTTCTTAGATAAATTTCATGAAACTAAAAAAATTTTTTCATTGAAGACTAAGAGTTTTAGAGTTTACCTGTTGTGTTAGGTAAATTTTGGTTTTGTTTCCCGAGCGCTAATAATATCCCTTAAAAATAAAATTTATCCAAAATCGTCATAATTCCATGCAAATGTACATGCTGAACTCGAATTAACAATTAAATTATGAAGAAACCTTACTCTGTTTTATTCTTTTATGCGTATCTCGTTATCCGTAAGACTTTTTTTCTTTTTTAAAGAACTTAGAGAAAAATCAGAAGAGGGTCGAGCATGTGAAAGACCAAGAAAAGAAACGCGGTCATTAGTTCATTTTATTAGACAATTATGAAAGAAATTTGGAATAGGTTTTTAACTTTTAAATACTTTTCCCCCTCCTTCTGGACGAAGGATATGATGAAAAAAAGAGCCGAAATCTTCTATAATTCAGGCGCATCACTGAGGATAAAAAAAATTGTTTGTAGCATACCAGCTGTAATTTTAAATTACTGTCTTTTTTTTGTTTTTTTTTTAATTTGGTGCTAAACTAACATGAAAAAAAAAAGCCAGATTTTAGAAATTTGGCGACAAAAACGCCAATCTGGCAACCTTGGTCATTGCATTTAGTAACACGAGTATTTTTATTATTATTTTACACAGTAATAAAAAACGGTAAACATTTAAGACGAGTAAATTATTTAATTTACTCGTCTTAAACATTTTTTTTTCTTTTTTGTGGTTTTAATATTTTATAAATAATTATTCTGAATTAAACTATTCGACTGTTAGAGCAAACAACTAAAAAAAACAAACAAAAATCTCCCGGCAAGACATGATGAACGAACATTTATTTTCAATTTCTCATTATGATGGAAGAATTAAGTCAATTGGTCGATAGTGTTTAAGGGTAGGCAAAAATGAAAGAAATTCTCAAAAGATCTCGGTACCTCCATAGAATACGCGATACCTAAGGTTTAAAAACTTTAAATTAATTTTTTAAAATTAAAATTAAAAAATCTTTCTTGATGCTTTTATTTTAGTTTAATAATTTCAAGCAATAATATTTCCAATAAGGAAAAAAAAAACTTTATTTTCAAAGACTAATAAAAATGGAGTGGTAAGTTTTTTTTTTTTTTTTTTTTTTGTTTGAACTTTATTTTTTGCTAAAATAGCTCATTAGCGCCTTTTTAGTAGTCTTTCATGGCAATGTAATTTTTATTAAATCTTCCAAAATTTTATTCCGCAACTTTTGAGAAATTAACTGATTTTAAAAATGATTTAAATATTATTTTTACTTTAAATTTAAAATATTGTAGAAATGCATTTTTTAACACAGCAGTAGATGTTTTAATCTATCTTGACAGTACAGGTTTGTTTCTCTATTAGGGCTTTAGCAGTAAAAAAAAAATTGAATATGATGTGAACGCCTTTTATATATAATTAGGTACTCGGTAATCTTAAATTTAAGAAAATATTCTCCATAATCTAATGTTTTATTGAATTTTAGATACTTTCTGGCTTTAAATTTGCTATAGTTATCGCTCTTATTTTCTGTTAATGTTGTGTATGGAAGTTCCAATTTAAAAAAAAAAAAAAAAAAAAAAACAAAATTGGCACATACTAAAAAAATTAAATTTTTATAAATTTTGATGATTTGTATTAAGTTTTTCCACTTATTAGTAGATGTAATTTTTACTTAATATCATTTGAAATGGTGAAATTAATACAGAATTTGAAAATTTGAAACTTAATAAATTACTCTAAACTTTAGAGTAATTTATTAAAGTTAAAATTAAAAAAATAAACGAATCTTGTAAAAATTCATTATTCATCAAAAAAAAAATTTTTAATGTCTTTATATCTTATTTATAAAAGTGATTAAAAGCTCTTCTAATTCAGTAATGTCATAATTTTGTATTTTTTAAATAGATTAGAATAAAAATTAATAATTTCATTCATTTGTGAATAATTCCTGAAAATTTCTTCAAAATCTGACAAGTATTTGATTTTTGCAAGAATTTCCAAAACAATGTATTTTTATTTTTTATTTTTTTTAATCACAAAGGAGATGGTAATTTTCCCATTCAATTCTTTTATACTTTGGCTCACCTGCTATGACACACACACACAAAGTAAAATTTTGAACATACTAGAAAGGATTAAAAAATTTAATAAAATAATTAAAAAATCCTTTGGTCTTTCCTCTTAACTTTTTTTTTTTTTTTTTTTTCTATCAAGTTTGGGGCCTTTTTTCATCATGTTATGGTAAAGGATCTGTTGTTTTCTGGGGAAATATATTTAAATTTGTACTTAAAATATCTTGCTGAGATCTATAAAACAAACTCTTAATTTTCCACCAATGATTTTTTTTTTTTTTTCTTTTCCTTCATGCAAAAGAGGCTCCAGAAACATTGAAATTTAGTTTGTCAAATTTCTTTCTTTTCTTAAATCAATCAAAGCCCTTGGAAAACACTATTGCTTAGAAAAATTGAAGCATCAATTGTTGAGTAGAAAATGAACAAAATATATTTTAACCAATTATAATTTAGAGAAGTAATTCTTAATCTTTAGTTCCCGTTTGGAGGCAGTTACTTTTTATAAATTTTGTTAGCTAATCTGAGTTATCCAATCTTCAGTAAAAATTTGTTAGTTTTTGCAGCTTTTCTGTTTATTCAGTTTTGACCTTGTTCAATATAGTATCTATACAAATCTTATCCCCTTTCATTTTGTCAGTATTATTTGAAATAGGTACACAATTTAATTTATTATCTTTGGGTGAATTTACCTATTGCTGTATTATGGTTGTTACTGCTACATATGCATAGACATTCAACAATCTCCTGTATGAAAAATTTGCATGCATAAAAGAAAGGAAATTTATCAACATAGGCAGATACAAATGAAAATCTATTTGATATTTGGATTGTCAAATAAATGTTATTTCCTCAACTTCATTTTGATGTTTGTTACTATGACATTTTGTTAATAAAAACTTAAAATTATAAATGACTTTGTTAAATTTATGGAAGTGTTTCATTTTCTACTTAACAATTATATTTTTCTGCAAAATTGGTGACATCCGATATGATTCTATGAAGTTAACCTTTTACAAAATATCTACATGAAAACTAAAACTTGATAGGAAATGAAAGCAGAGAAAATCCCCTGTTATCCTGAATATTAAAAAAGGTCCTTACAAAAAAAACTTATTATGAATAAGGCAAGATAACAAAATGATAGTAATTATTGGTTCTAAAACACATTTGAGACATTGTTTTTTTTTTTTTTTCATGATTATAACAAACTCAAAGGTGATTTTGAAAACTATTGAAAAAAAAAAAAAAAAAAAAAAAAAAAAAGGAAGGAATTACTTAGAAAAAGGTGCACCCGCCTAATAAATAATAAAAAAAAAAACTACTTTGCTTATCCCATGTGTCCGAGAAGTCTAACAATATTTTGAAATATTTAGTTTTCTTTGTTTGGCTTCTACGGGTTTCTATGGGACTCAACATAACTGATATGTTTTATACTGAGCCCATATACAAATGTTAATCACCAAACTTCTGATATGAACATGTAAATGCAGGAAGTAATAATAACCAAAAATATTGGTGATTCAAGGAAGAATTGAGACTGTTCCAACTCTGGCAATGCTGGGTCCTGTAATGATACTGAGAAAAGTGCTGGAGATTTCAGGAAACTGCTGTCCTTCAAACTCTCTAGTGATGACCACTAGACATCTGGTATGAACATAAAGAAAAAGAAATAAGTGGTGACAAGAATAGCTTTTTAAAATTGTTCATAGTAAGAAAAGCAGGAAAATAATCGATTTAGAAAAAATCAGAAATAGTAGTTTGTATGAATTGACCATAAATGCTTGATTTAGCACCCACACTAATTTTAAAGATTTTTAAAGAAAGCATTTGGTTAAATTCTTGATCTAAATAAGTGCCCTATTTTGTTTCTCAAATTATTAGTTTAACTTTAATCACCCGGAACAATTATTTTAAATTCTTTGGAGAAAGAGGGGGCTAGAGATGGGTGGTTTAACCAAAAAAATAACTTTTTTTGATTCTATCTTTAAAACATATCAAAATTTTTTAAGAATCGAAATTGTTCTGTGAACATGGGTACCTCCACGAAATCGCTAAAAAACAGAGCATAACTTGATGAAAAAGACGCCGACCTTGCCGAAAACAAAACTTTGTCTAAATGCTTATGTTATTATTAAGATGAAAGAACAAAGTTTTTTTTTTTTTTAATTATTTTTAAAAAATTTTCCTTCTTTTTAGAACATTATAAATTTTGATTAAAAAAACCTTGTTTCTATTTGTATCAGCGGAACTAGTAAATAACATAGACAATTTTTAGCACGTTTTTTTTTTTTTTTTTTTTTTTTGGTATGACACACATTAATTTGAAAAATCGTGCAAAAAAAAATAGAAATAATTGTCGGATGTAAATGAAACTTTCAGGAACTATTCACAGATGATCGAAATTATTATAAATTTTATTTTATTAAAGTCATGGTAGAAATATTTTTTTAAATATTTATCTCCCCCCCCCCCCGACCCATTAACTAATTTTATGAAAACGCTAGAAATTCGATCGCATAGGTCTTAGTGATTACAATAATTAAAAGGACAGGGCTTTGAGGAATGCAAATCATGTGTTGTTTTTTTTTTTTTTTTTAATCAGCTGTGAATTGTAACATACAAAACTCAATAAAACAAAGATATTATTTAATTTCAAATGCTTTTATTTGCTTTTAGTTGTTTTTATGAATATGGACAATATTTTCTGGAAGCAAAAAATGAACTTTTAATACAATTATTTGTTATTTCTTTAATTATAATAGATTTAAGTTGTTAGAATATTATAAAATTAGTTAAAAGCCGCATCGGGTTTCCTAAGTGTCCTTATGAGATAGATCTTTTTTAGCGCGTTGTAAATTGTATCATTTTGACGAATCAGAAGATCCGCAGTAATTAAGAAATGTAATTTTGTGCTTATAACCGGGCTGTAATTATAAAGTACGGAAGACCAACCAGAATATAATTAAGTTGCGTTATTTGAGTTAAGCATTGTTCTCTGCCGTTAAGGCCTTTACTTTTGCGAAACACGTGTGGAGAAGTTAATTTGATTTTTCGATTTCAACTGAGAAGGGTACCTACAAGTATCAGTATCATCTTATGGAATTTATATGATCTTATTTTTATATTAATCTCAGTTATGACATTTTTCCATAAATGAAATATCAAAATTAATAATAAAATGAATGCAAATACAAATAACAGTAAAATGTAATAAATGTACATAAAATTATAGTATTTTATGTACAGTTCTGATAAAATTTCCTAAGAAAGGTACCTATAAATTAATTAGATACCTTTCTTAGGAAATATGAAATTTAATGTCACTCTTAACAGTCTTTAATTTCTTTAGAATATATTTTCCATAAAGCATCATAAACGTAAAGGTGAAAGCTAAGTACAAAAAAAAGAAAAAAATTAGACCGCTGAAAGTCCTCATTAAAAATAATGAGGTAAATAATTTGTTCACTTCAATGTAAATTATTTCACTTTTCTCCTTCCGTAGAACAAATTGGCGTCATGGAATTTGTAAATATGTCATTCATCACCTGTCAAGAAATGCGAAAGTTTATGGCTGGCTTTGTTTTATTTTCCAATTACATCTTTTTGGCACAAAAGCTAAGCTAAGTTAAGTTTGGTTCAAAATAAATATTATAATTTCTGATTTTCTTAATAAGTTTTGAAAAAGTGATAATTGATATTTAAAAGAATTTCAAAGTGAGATTTCCAGTTTTTTTAAAATGGAAAAAAATGATCAATTTTGCTGACTCAAAAAAAACTAGATTTTTAACGAAAATTTCGGACGTGCTAGGAATGATTAAAAAATGGAAAAAAATACCCCAAAAATACTTTGATCTTTCCTTTTAATAACAAAGATTTAGACGATAAAATTTTGTTTTCGTCAAGTTTGGCGTCTTTTTCATCATGCTATTTTTTTTTTTTTTTTTTTTTTTTTTTTTTTTTTTTTTTTTAGCGATCTCGTGGAGGTACCTATGTTAAGTTTCACTATTGAGTGATATCCAAAGAAACATTATTGAAAAAGACTTTCAGATGTTAATAAAATTAAATTTTATCAACATCTATTGTAAGAGAAAAAGATTGAACAAAAATATGTTAAAAACATTTAACAAAATAACTAGTAAAAATAGAAAATAGTTGCTAGTTTTGTTTTTTTTAATGTTAAAAAAATTTGAAGTCGATTTTTTTTTTTTTTTCTTGTAAGGGTTTTCTCGTATGCCAATCAGAAAATAAAAAAAAAAATAAAAAATGGATGAAGATTTTTTTTTAAATAAATGTTTTTTTTTTTATCTACGGAATGCACCTAGATATTAAGAATAATTTGAAATAGTTCTTTAATTTCACTTTAAAAATGTGCGCATATTCCTAGATACGAGTCTTTGTAGTAAAACTGTTTTCTAAAAAAATTGTTTTTATCTAACGAATACACATAAAATTAGATATAAAAAAAAAAAAAAAAATTAATCTTGGTTTTTGTGTGTAAACTGCAAGTTTTTTTGTTTTTTTTTCCTCTCCACTGTTCTGCCTATAAAATTATTCTAAACAAGGAAAATTAATTCCTTTTTATAAATATATTTAATGGTTTTAGGGTTATATTAAAATGATTAAAATAGTTCTTAATTTCAGTTTTAAAATGTTCATATAAAAAAGAACAGGTGATACTTGCAGATTTGGAAATACACATTAAAAATGTAATTTAAAAGCATTTAATTATTTTTTAGTTTTAGGCCTGTTATTTGTTAGATAAAAACATAAATTTCTTTAATGGGGGGGAAAAAACTGGTCGATTTTCCTTGTTTAGAAGAAACTTATTTGCAAAACCCCAATAACAGTTGACTAGCATACCAGAAGAGAATTGTCGTATTTTTAATTATTTTAAAAATGAGGTTGTTTGTTTTTTGCTTTTTGCTTTTTAAAAGCCACAAAGTAATTTCTGGAGAGCTACCATTTTTTTCTCTCAAAATGTGTTGTCCAAAGACACAAATATAGATAACTTATGCGACGATTTCTTTCATATTTTACCAATTTGTTAATAAATATGGTAGTTAATAATAAACTTTAAATCTAAATCATGAATTCTATGACTAAATTACGTTAAAACCTAAAAACTGACTTCACGTGAACAATCCCTACCCCGATTCTCAGTTTTCGGCTTTTTGTTTTTAATTCCAGTGGTTTTTTTTTTTACTTTATGCATGTCTATAAATTTTTATTCTCCTTGCTAAAAAAAAATATTGACCACTTAACACACCAATTCAATTAGACTTCCACAATGACACATTTAAAAAAAAACAAAAAAAAACTCAAAAGTTGAAAAGTATATGGGCCGTTTATTTTACATAAGACAGTAGTTCATTTACCACACATACTACTATCAGTTGCTTTTTTTTATTTTTTTTTATTCTTTTTTTTTCTCGTTTCGACTGGTCAGAAGAAATGGACATATTCCTGGTTGTAGTTTGTGTCTTCTAATGAGTGTACAATTTCAAGAAGATTGATAAAAATTGGTCACTATTAGTCATTAGTTTCAGAAAAATCATTTGCATTTTCAGTGTTGTATTTTTTACTCGTATCTATTCAAAAAAAAAAAGTAAATTCATATTGTATTCTTTGAATTTCTTTCTATTACTTGAATAAATTTTCAATATTTTGCGCTATATTCAGCAATGAAACGGTTTACACTTCTATAACCATGTGATTATAATTATTTTTTTTTCTTTTAATGCTTTCAGACTTCTTTTGAATGTGGAATGTTGATAACGAGGGCAATACCATCAACATCTCACAATGTTGGGACATTAGTTTCAGAGGCAGTGTTGTATTTTTGTATCTATTCAGTAAATTCATTTGTATCGAAATAATTTTCAATATTTTGTATAAGACTTTAAATTTTTTTTTTTTTTTTTTTTTTTCTTTTAATGCAGTGAGGCTGTTGTAAGATATTAACATTTTAGTGTTTGGCAAACAATTGCAGATGTTGATTATAGTGCATTTCAGGGTTTAAATCCTATGGAGGATTATAACTTTAAAAAGTAACAGAAGCATTTAAAAACACTGGAGTTATTCCAGGTCAAATCAATGAGGGGGTCAGACCATGACTGACACACTTTTTGTTTTTTTTTTTTTTAAATTTGCTACACTTAACAATCTTTGATATGAATTGAATGGCACCCGTCTTGCTTCTCAAAGTTGAATGGCTCTTGAATTATGAACTTTGCTAAAAATATGAATCTTTGATGATAGTGATAAGGTTTAAAATTTAATATCTTCAGTGTTTTTGCACCCCGAAAACTTATTTATATACCATTTTAAAGTACTTGGAAGGGTCTAAAATGTACCATATGTATTTTTGTATCAAAATAAGGCAAGTTGACCTTGATCTTAATTTTCTCCCCCCAAATTTTTTTATTTAAATTTACCAAATAATTTGTCTTATGTCATATGGCCAAAAAATTCATGATGGGGAAACTGAGTAAAAGTTTTTTTTTTTTTTTTTTTTTGTGTGTGTTTTTTTTTTTTTTTTTTTTTTTTTTTTTTTTATACTGAAATGACCGCTATTCAAAATGGCAGGTTTGGGCATCTGCCACTATATGTCTAAAATTTTGATATAAGTATGGTTAAGTTATGCCTTTTATAAAGCTCTTTTAATGCTGAATAACATTTACGTAGTACCATTCAACAGAATTTTTATTTGTGATTAAATTCTGATCTGATTTTTGGGGGCAAAAAAACCCAAAAAACAATGGATATTTTTGTTTACATTTTTTAAGATAACAGATTTATGAAAAAAGTGATATAATAAATAAATGTTTAAGTTATTTAAAATCATAACATTTTATCAAGCATTAACCTTGAAAGAATGTGGAACATTTTATGTCAGTGGTCACCATATTTCAGTTGATCTTTTTAAAGTACATTAAAAATACTCAATGACAATTTTTGTTTTTAATTTTTTTTTATATATTCCAAAGTTTTGATCTGTTTTCTCATTTGATGTGATAATCAAAATCTGCAAAAAATGTAAATGTGTGATAGTTGGAACCAATTTTAAAGTAGAAAATAAAAATTTCATGCAAACACACCACTACATAACTTTTTTTTTTTTACAAAATATTTGCATTTTCCATCTCAATTTTTGAAAGTTTGTAAGGTCTTTGAGTTTCTGTTTTTGGAACAACTAAGGTCAGTATATAAGAATATTTTAAAACTAAAATATCTAGATTTTAGTTTTAAGCATATTCTGAATTTCTTAAACGCATTGTCGGTTCTTGTCTTTTTGACTAGCATTTCTTTAATTTGATTTCTATTGCATTTAACAGGATAGAAAGTGACATTGAAATTCAAAGGTGTGTTGCAATAGTGAAACATGCCTTTCAAAAGCTAAGCAAAGTATTAAGAAACAAATTTTATTAGAAACGAAGAATTGAGTATTGAACTGTTATGTAATATCAGTCCTATATGCAATGAATTCTGGACATTATTTGAAGAGACTTGAAGCAACAGAAATGTCCTTCTACAGAAGGATGCTGAGAATACCATTAATAATGAGCAAGAACAAAGTATTAGAGAAAATGGAAATAAAAACGACACATTATCAGGACAGCTGAAATTTCTATGGCACTAAATGAGAAACGAGGGCTTGGAAAATCTGATTCTCACAGGACATATTGAAGGTAAGATGGATGCAGGAAAACAATGCATAACCTACCTAGAGAGATTGAGTAAATGGTTGGTGGAACAGCTTTAGGAGAGATAACAAAAAGACAATTTATTAATAGCTACAAAAGACAGGAAATTGTGGAGAACCATGATTGCCTATATCCTGAAGAGACATGTCATATAAAAGTGATTATTAGAAGTAATATCATTCAAGTCATTTAGACGGCACATTGTTAATTAAAATTACCGTATTTGATGAGATTAAGTGTTTTTTTTTTTTTTTTCTCTGAAAATAAAAAATCCCCCTGTATCTGAAGTTGAAACCCCCTGTAGGTTATTTTATCCCCCCCCCAACACTCCTGACTTCAAGACAATAATTTTACACGAGAAAGTCATTTCTAGCGAGCCTGACTCTGTAATAACATTATTCAGCTAAAGTTATCAATAATGTAAAAGGAATTATAAACAAATGGCTGATAATGTTCTGTTTTATTACTGTAATCATGTAGGATACTTTCATTGTTAGTATGATTACTTGTTCAGTTGTGATACTTGCATTTTACCAAAGTTAAGCAATGTTAAACCTGGTTGGTACCTAGATGAGTGACTACTTGGAAATACCAGGGGCTGCAATCTTGCAGGAGGTTTAATGGATATCAGAGATCCAAGTTTGAATTCCAGTTGGTTTCATTGTATTCACTTACACACAAATACTCTTGGGGGAAATGTATGAATCTGACTCTTTCCTGCCAGCTAGGAGTTAATAAATAGGAATTGTATCAGTAAATCATTATCTACAAAAAATTGTTACTCTAAAAATATTTTCTTGCGTTAAATAACCAGCAAAGGATTGATAAGCTATAAAAAAAAAAAATCAAAAAAAATAATACAGTAATATGCTTTCTACTGTAGTTAGATCTAATACAGTGATATTTTTTTTTTTTAACTCTTATTTATTTCATCTTTATTATACACATAATATTAGATATCATATTCAATTCTTAAATAATGCATAGTCAGTTACTGTCTTTTAACTTGTATTTCTTTCATATTTCTTTTCCTGTAATAGCATTACATGTAATAGTCTGAATTTTATATTTTTTTTTTTTTTTATTTTTTTTTTTTTTTTTTTCCTGATTTTAGTTGCTTTTTATTATAGCTCCCAGATTGTCATTTCATGATTGTTAGTAAGCAATGTGGATCAAAAATAAAGGCTTTACCTGAGGTAAACTGAAACTTGCTCTCCTTAATCTCAAAAACCTGTCGGGATATGACAGCTGCCTTATCAATTAGGTTATGAATGCTACTAGTTGCAGTCATTCAAATCTTAGCAGAAAGCTATCTTTTATTATTTCTCAACACCTGAAATGCTGCCATGTTTATATACATTGACTCTTAATAAAAATATTTTGATTTCTTACTGCTTTGATGTTTTGTAATTTTTTTTTTTTTTTTTTTTTAATATGCTATGTTTTATTTGAACTAGTGTCCTAATTATGGTTATTATTGGCGTGTTTCAACTTTTGTGACTTCTGGCCTTTTTTAGGTGTCTGTTGTGTTCAGTTCATAGGAATAGACTGTTTTCATTCCATCCATGTTAAGGAATATATGCAAAACAGATGAACATTTAAGCTTGTGAAGCTTTATTCAATATAATTTAAGTACTGCCCACAATTGTGGTAAGACAATTACTTTTATAGTTGAATTGTTTGAGGTGGGAGACAAGTATGGTTGCTTTGCACCATGTTATTAATAATTTTTTTTTTTTTAATTCAGTCTTGTGATGCTTTAGTTTTCTGAATTTCTTTGATGGCACATTGTCAATTTCTTAACTATTAAGTTACTTTTTTTTTTTTTGAAATTCATTCAGCAAAAGTATTTAAAAAGTATATTTCTTTCATGTTACTCATCTTGAATCAAGGAATCCATTCCTTAGATTGAATCTCTTCATTTTACTAAATGAGGAAGTCTGCTCTTTATTGTAGTCAAGTCTGAGTTGGCAAGTTTAGAACTTCATAAAGAACCTTATATTATAAACTTGAATTTGTGATAATCAAAGCTTTGATTTTATTTTTCACCCTATATTCACAAAGTGAAAGTGCTTTGTGCTAGTTTCACTGTTAATATTTAACAGACCCCCCCCTTCCCACGAGGGATGTATGTGGCACAAGGCCAAGTTTACTGTGGCTTCTCTGAGCCTGTAGGCAAGCCAAAAATATTCCCTTAGAACCTGCATAAATGGGTTCAGGATCTGTCTACCTCCCCAGACGAGACTTTGCCCTTCTATAGAGCTTGATCCAGGTTCCTCTCTGCTCAAGGCAGAGAGTTCGACAGTTCAACAATTTGGTTGGTTTTACTGTTAGGACAAGGGATTGAACTAGATTTCTTTTAGAAAATGAATAAAATTTAAAAATTTGGATTTGAAGATTTTAAAAATGTTCATGTAAAAAAAAAAAAAAAATCTGCTTAAACAGGAAATATTTGGCATTTATTGACCAAACTGGTTGAGATTTATAAAATCTTTTTAGTGAAACAGTTCTTAAAGAAATTAGATTTCCCAAGTCCATTAAATGTTAAGATCTTTTCTAGTATTAATGGGTGTTTCCTTGTAGTCTTTTTGTTTTTGGTAATGTGTAGAGTTACCATTTTGATTATCATTGTTTTGTCTTTCACTTATCCAGTTTTGTTTTTGCTGTTAAGTGTTCAAGTATTGGTTTTTGTTATTCAATAAAGCTCTTTATTCATGACTTTATAGTGCCAAAATACAGGGTCTGATGAAGGATTGTCAATAAATTAATTTGTTTCAAACCTTTTTTTAATTATTGATCTGCAAAAATAGTTGTCTAATACTAGGTTGACCAATTTCCTTAAAATGTAAGTACTTTGTTTGTTTGCTTTTTTTTTTTTTTTTTTTTTTTTTTATATACTCACACTAAGCAAATCTTTCAACATCTCTATTTTTGTTGTTTTTCTACCAGAACTGTGTTCTTTGCTTGCCTTTAGCTTTGTGTGTTTATATTGAAGAACATCCATCTGGATTCACCAAAAGGTAAGTTGTTCATCATTTCTGTGAATTTCCTTTTTAATACTATTATTTCTACAATTCCCATTTACATTTCAGATTTTGCTTAGTAGTAAACAATGGACTGAAGGTCATAGAGATCTAAAAATCCACTTTGACATCATGAACAGAAAGAAAATGTCCTTCTTTTACCAAAGAAGGCTGCAAAATAGTTTTATCTAAGAAAATTTCAAAACTTGCTGTTACAGTTGATTTGTAAACTAATTTTGATTATATCAGGTGTGCAAGAGTTCCTAGCATATTTTTATTAAGAAGTTGGAGCTTTTCTACTTTGTAGTTAGTTTCTTGTTATAAAAAAAACCCCAAACTTTTGCATGCACTTAATGTTTCCCATTCTATGTTTATATTTGACTTATCTGGAAATTTAAAGTACTTAAATATGTATTTGATAAGGAATTTTGTGAAGAGGAAAATTTACCAGTTACATGTTCTTGGTTTGAAAAAAAGATGAACCATCCAGACAAAAACATAGATAAAAACATGTAATAATTTTGTTTTTTTGTTTTTGTTTTTTCTTATGGGCATCATTGAGGGCTTCATAAATACTTATTTTTGTCACTAGAGACAGTGTGCCAGCTGTATGAATATTGATGGATTGCCTTTTTTTTTTTTTTTTTTTTAACAAGAAACTGATCAATAAATTTAAGGAAATTATATAACATAATACCAGTAAAAAAAACATATTGCAAAATTAAAAAAACAAAAATGCAGAGTATTGGATTTCAGTAAAAAGAAGTGTCAAAAAGTACCTTTCAAATCCTGATGGTCTTTACTGTACTGTATATACTCATCTATAAGCCTACTTCATGTATAGTGTGACACCTGAAATTTTTTTTCATACAGCTCATGTGTAATGTAGTCCCAGCTTCTGAACTATACTAATAGGCCTGCCGTAGTCAAATGTTGCAGAATTGGGCATCATACTGGACATAATTTATAGGAAATGAATGGTCTTTATTTATTTTTGTACAAAGCTATCCCAAAATGGTTAGAAAAACCACTCACTGTAAAATGCCACTTGTATCCCTATGAGATGAAAATACTTTTTTAGCTTTTCATAAACTATTGAAAGATTTCTTCAAAAAATGTCAAGTTTTTGTTGAATTGTCCATGTTTGTTAACTAGTTCAGTTTAAAACCAACCTGTGTCCAATTTATATTTAATTATCAACTTTTTTTTTTTTTTTTTTTTTTTTTTTTTTTTTTTTTTCTTACAGTGCCAAAATTATAGTTCATCTCCATTCAGCTCCATCAAATAAGCACCCTGGACCAGCTTCTAGTAGTGCCTTTACTTATGTGAGATTATCTTTCCGGGAATCTGGAGAAAAAGAGGTTTGTATTATCACTGATGTGGAGGTTTTGGTGACCTAACGGTTTATAATATGAGGAAGGGAATCGATGAACAAAGTTCAAACTTTGACTGGTACAGTTTCTGTTCACTTTTCATGAATACACTTGGGAAAGGCATGAATCTACTTCTCCCTTTGAGATATGACTTAATTGTAGCACAGTTATTGCCCTTTAGCTATTTGTCGGTTCATGGGCTGTGGGTTAGCACTCTGGTCCTATAAAAATTCACTTGCTACTGAAACTGCAGCAGCATTATTTGATGCGGTTGTGGCCCTCCCCACGCTCCACAAGGAGTCTGCCGAAATAAGCAATATCAATAATTACTGTTTTGAAAGGGTTTTCTTGTTTCAGACAAAGTATGAACATGACTAATGTTTGCAAGTGTTTATTTCCTTTTAGTTATTTACCAGAAAACAGAAAAAATGAAATAAAATGAATCTTACATTATCCTGTTGTCAGCTTGCTCATGAAAGCATCAAATGAGGTTCTGCTATGGAAGTTAAAATGCTTATTTTGATCAGATTTGTGACACCCTCCAAGATAGTTTTTTTCCACTAGTATCCTTTGTCAGTAGCTATTTAATGAAAAACTGCTAAAAAGACTTTATTTTGCGACAACAGCCAGAACTTATCTATGTCCACTGGGATTTTGGGAGTAAATGCTAATCTTGTAATTGGTTTCATATTGATTGCTAACATACTGTTGGCAGCACTGAAGGATTGAATACCACTAGACTCTACTGATATCAGGAGAAGTATTCTTGAATGTATAACATGATGGTTTAGAATCCAAGCTTTGGAAGCTGTACTTGATGATTACAGTTATTTCATCTCTAGTTGCAAAGTTTTCACCTCTCACAAGCTTTTGACACTGTAACATTTGTTTTAAAGATTGTCTCTTTGTGACACTCTGTAGATACCTTGTTTATCTGTTGTTGATCTTCACTATGATTGTTCTCTGTATTCCTTTTTCAAGTATAATTACAGTCCCAAAATAGAAAAAACACATTATGAAGCTTTAAGTTATAATTAAAACTTAACAGGATATCATTAAGCTCAATACTATACTTTGTAAAGCAATGAAATAGATCAAAATGATACTAGCTAAATGAATTCAATAAATATTTATTCTACAACATATGACCCAATAAATGTCCCCCATAACTTTTTACCAGTACATTTTTGACCCATTATTGTTATAATTCTGAATCGGCATAAAATTTCCAAGAAAATGGTATACAACATGCCCATATTTTGAAAAATGTATTTTTTGGTAACCAAGACTTATGGCACAGAATATGGTGGACAAATGAAAATGCACCAAAAGATGTCACCAACTGTTTTTTGATCCCCCAGATGATGTATTTACTCAAACCAAATCCACTGAAATGTACACACTCAACCTGCTACAGCAGTACATGGCATTTCACAGATAATAAAGAAAAAGGAATCTATAGAGCATATGATCTCCTATATTGTAAAGGGACATGCAGTAAAAAAAAAAAGATTACCTAATACATTTAATGTTTAATCTGTGCATACTTAAGGCAAATATTAAAGATCACAATTGTACATCATTTCCTTTTGATATATTTGTTAAGATAAACAACAACAGCTGCTGTAATTAAATACTATATTCCTTCACACTATATAACACACACACTTATCTGGCAATGAATATTTAGGAAAGGAAAAACTAAAACAGTAATGAGATAATATTTGTGTGTAACTATTTTTTTTATATAATTTAACATGTATTTGTAATCGGAAGCATTTATATATATATATATCACTCTGGGGTCATCTGCTGGCAAGCGTGTCAAAGATCTTTAGGTGTTACTTTATTATGTAAACTTAATAATTTCCTGCATTCTTGATGCATTTAACTCAATGTTTTTTTGTTGTTTTTTTTATTAATCATGTTGCCCAAACTGTATACAGTGAAAAAATTTGCATAAAAATTAAGCTAATATTTTAATTTGGTTACAAACATATTGATTCATTATGCATGCATGCATGCATGTATGTGTGTGTGTGTGTGTATGGAATGATAGAAAACATAAAAATCTAATGTTGCATCTTTATTAATGCTTCATCAGAGAATGAGATATGGAGAAAAAAAATACTGTCTGACTAGACAGATGCATGTGAAGTCTGCTTAACCAATGAAAAACAAAGAACACAAAAATTAAAAATAATAGAATTATTTTTTTCTTTTTTCTCCATATCTCATTCTCTGATTAAGCTTTAAGAAAAGCAAAACATGTTAGATTTGTTTCCTATTTTTCCTGTATCATTCACACACTTATATATATATATATATATATATATATATATATATATATATATATATATATATATATATATATATATATAAAAATTTAAAAAAAAGTTATAACATCACTACCAAAATAGCCATTTTGTTTCAACACCCCTGGTGTCTTATCAAGTGATGTTGAATGCAAAATAAATGTTTTTTTTCCATATATATGCACACACACACAAAATAAACTTTTTTTTGTTTTTATTTAGTTTTTTAGGTATTTTAAAGAACAATTGGAAAGCAAGAAATGGGAAAAAACTGAAAACGTTCCACCTCCACAAGGAAATGTAAGTTCTTTCATAGCAAGTATTTCATGTTCATAAGCATTAATTCTAATTGTTGTTCATTGATTAAAATTTTTTTTTTTCTTCCTGACAGTCATCATCATCTCCCCTGCCAAAAAAACCAGAAGAAAACAGTCCAGGAATGTTAGTTCAAAACTGTATAAAAATAATCATTTTAACATTTAAAAGCTTCATTCTATTTTGTGGAAATCAGTTTTACATTGTACTGACAATGGAACACACTTAACCAATCACTGACAGATCAAACTAATCACCCATAGACTGTTTATATAGACTGTTCTTTGATATTGTTTTACAATATAAGAGCACTCTTTAGGATCGTAGTGTTTATTAAGTTATTTCAGATTGACTGAATCATGTCAATAAAAGGTGAAATTTTCAAGTTCTGAATTTTATGTTGCAAAAGAAAACCCTAAAGGAAATCCATTTGTGTATGCTACAAATATTGAGTGACAAATACTTGTCATAATCACTTGTGAGTGGAGATTATGGGACTTAAGGTGCAGCACCACCTTGGATTTTTTTTCCACAGTATAAACTGAAATTGTTGATCATGGTTGAATTTTGGGTCATTGATAAATCTTTGTTTTTTTTTAAAAAAAAAAAAAAAAAAAAAAGAAGCACTTGAGATTGTGTAGAAGGTCTCGGTGAAATGGGTGTGAAAATGTTTGAATGCCAATTGGAAACAATGTTAAGTGGTTACCTGCCAGTGATAATAATTTAGAAAAATGTGTCACTCTTGATGACGGATGGTTTCACCACTATGATTTGGAAATCAAACAGCAGAAAATGCTATAAAGACTTTTCTTTTTTGGGAAGCAAGGTATTTTGATGACTATCTTTGGAATGATCAAATAATGGATATTTAGATGTTTGTTGAAATCATCCAAAAAAAAAAAAAAAGTTTTTTACTCAATATACTATTTTATAGATTTTTATTTTTTTTTATTTTATATTTTGCTTACATGTTGAAGTTCTGGTACAATTACCAACGTTAAGCAATGTTGAGCCAGGGCAGTTACTAGATAGATAAGTGCTTAGAAATACCAGTAAACTTGGATGTGTGGGTGGTGTGATTGATAATCACTTGGAATTGGAAATTTGAGAGCCAAGTTGCAATTCTCATTGAGTTTGTTATATTCACTTATGAGCAAATATCCTTGGGAAAGGTATGGGTTAATTAGTAAGACTTGTATCAGTAAATCATTATCTCAAAAAAAATCTTACACTCTGAAAATTTTCTGACTTTAAATAAGTTGCAAAGAGTTGATAAACCACAGAAAATGAACGAATCAATCAGTTTAATTTTTTCATGTTTAAAATTATGTATAAATATTTCTATCATTTACAAATTCTTATTAAAGGATGTGTTCAAAGAAATAGTAGTATAAGATTTAAAAAATAAGAACCCTTACATGTCTAGCATTTGTTTTTTCCCTGAAAGCCATGACGAAATGAAAGCTAACCACATTTATATTTATGAATTACAGCTGCAGTCAGCACCCCGTCACCGAGCAGGAATCATTGGTATTGAGAGAGCTATACAAAAGAAACAAGAAGACACAGACAAAAACATTTCCCAGGCATTTGAGGACCTCAGTAATTTGATGGAAAAGGTGTGCAGTTCATTCTCCTCTTTTAATTTTAATATATGCCTATTTTGTCAGTAATTGTTGTGTACATTACTCACCCCTGAACACATTCTCCATGCTCTGATTTTCAGGATATATATAAAAATCATTTGCTATGTTTTTCTAGAGTAAAAATGTTTGGCAGGAAATAGTTATAAGCTGGAATTTATGTAGTATGTTTATCATACAAATATTTGTTGCATCACTATACAACTGCTATTGATACCATGTAACTCGGTCTGACCTGCTGCACGATTGGATCATGAGCGACTAAATTAGTTACCCCCACCAGGCTTGAGGAGAGTGGATAAACACATAGGATTAAAATGGTATCACTGGGCAGACAGCTTCCAAACCTGAAGTCAATAGACATAGTGAAGGGTTCTAATTTGAATTGCTGGCCATGTGTTTGTGAACAAGTTGGAAGACATTGGCTGCAGTTTGAATTGGGGGGGGGATGGGTGCCATACGGTTTAGTTGCCCAAAATATGCTATTCAACCCAGACATGTAGCGGCAACTAGTCAGGTGCACAGTAAATAAATACCAATTTTATTATTTTTAACTTGCATAATAAACTCCTGACAAAAATATTGTATTTACATTTATCTCCTTTGGTTAGTTAAGTAAACGATTTGTATGAAGATTTAGGACTACAACATTAATTTTGGTAAACTTTGTCACTTTCTATCTGAATTTCTGGGATGAGAAATCATCTTTATTTATATTTTGAACTTGTGAAAATACCATTAGCAATAATACCACCACAGATAAAATAATGGGCTCAGTTTTAAATCTCATGAAAGTTACCTGAATTGACAAGCACCAAAAGAAGGCCAGAGAGCAAAGTCGAACTTTAAATAATGTAAGTAATGACATCAGAAATTCAGATAGAAATTAAACTTTGTCTATCAACCAAGACACTTTCCGAATTGGTGATGTTTACCACAATTTCTATGTGCCAAATCCCTTCAGAACATAGGCAATCATGGCTCTGCACAACCTTCTGTCTCATGTGGCTCTTAGCAGTTTTCATTCCTTTGCTAAGAATCCACTCCCATGTTTTGACAACCATTCCATTGAAACGAGCTCATCGGGTAAGTGGGTCACTGCTTTCCACTATACCTTTTGTATTTGATATACCCTGTGAAGGTAATGTTTGTTAGATATTTTCATGACAGTCGTCTTCGAGTATAGAATCCAGAGGTTAGCAGTGAATATTTCGGAGACAGTAGGAAAGCGTAGTTCAGGTTAGCAGTGGATATCACAGCAAAGTAGCAGAGCGTAGTACTTCCTTCTGTCATCTTTGCCTGACAAGTTGGCACTGGTCATTCAGGTAGGGTAAACAAAAATGGCCGCCTTTTATACACGACTGGTTGAATGTTCCACGTCTTCTGATTGGTTAACCTTCTATTGGTAGACTATAAAGCGAGTCACGGCATTTGGACTAACTCACTAGTTACATAATACATACATATACCAAAAAACCGTAACAATGTTTTCAAAGCTCTCCTGTGTTCTAGGAATTTCAACACTGTTCCTGATTTTGAGTAAACAGATGTTATTTCTGTTGATATTTTCTTTAAGATTTACTTATGTCCCTGGAATTTTCAGTATTCTGTAGAACCAGATTTCTGCTGCTAGAATTTTTTTCATGACATGATAGTTAAGTGCTTTGGATTATAATGGACTGTCATTATGAAAACTACCTTTTTTAAATTCCCTAACTCCAACATACACATTGGGAATTAGGGCATTGTTGATTTCTTTGTTAAAGTAAAATGGTGAATCTTAAATTCTAAAATGTAGATGTTTGTCTAAAAGTAATTTTATACCTGGATGATTTCTTTTTCTTTTGATGTGAAAAGAGAACAGTTAATTTTTAATTTGTAGGCTAAAGATATGGTTCACCTTTCCAAAACAATTGCGAACAAAATTCGTGAGAAACAAGGGGATATAACCGAGGACGAAGTAAGTTATTTTCCTTCCATTTAATGAAATTAAGATGGCTTTCTTTAAACAAGCATTTTTTGTTTTTGTAAAAATCTTTAGAGAAGAAAATGTTGTAAAGCAATTCCCACACTAGTTTTTTCACTGGTGAGAAGGGTGTCATGTCACTCCTCACGCACATGGACAGAAGGCATGTCAAAACTACTTGTGTGTGTGTATATATATATATATAAAAACTAGGATGGAGGCTGAAGCCTTGAATACAACCTTCATAGAGATGGTGTCTTCATAAAACATTGTATAGTTGGACTACTGAGAGTATCTGGGCTGGGTGTCAAGAAGAGCATCCAGCTTGTAAAACCTTGCCTCAAATCATTGACACATTTTTTGCCAGGCAGGCAAAAACTGTATGACATATCTTTAATTAAATGTTGGTGTATGTTTCATATATGTACATTTTATCATTCACTAGTTGTTCATACAGATCTTGAAAATGTGTCAATATTAAGTCAATTATGTTTTTGCCACAAAATTGATAAACATCAATTATGTATTAATCAGCATTGTCATTAATATTAATTTTTAAGTCTTGTATCTTTCATTTTATTTCATCAATTTCTTTTTCTTAAGTATTGGAAATGTCCAAGTTATTAATTATAAAAGTAAATAGTTTATTAAATTAATGTCTCTCATTTGGGACAGGTATTTGTCACCAGGTTCTCATCAAATAATTGACTGTTGTGGGACTTGCTACTTCTATTGCAAGGTGTAGACTTTATTTTGTATTTTTTTTTAAAAATTTTTTTCTTTTCCTTCAGTAAATATTTAATGGCATTAGCAGATTCATGTGATTGTGGCAATAAATAAAACCCCAAAACATGGACCATGTATTAATAAATATGGAACATGTATAATAAATATGGAACATGTATTAATAAATATGGAACATGTATTAATAAATATGGAACATGTATAATAAACATGGAATATGTATTAATAAATATATTAAATGAACATGTTAAAAAAAAAAAAAAATGAAGTAAAGTTGTGAAGAGTTCAAAGTAACCTTCAGTGTACACCTGCTGATAGAACAAAAGAAAACATCTTGTTGCTGCCAAAGGGAAGAGGAAGAGGCTTTCAAATTTTGCACAGCTTGTGATTATCATGTGGGTGGCTGTAATCCAACATGAAACATGATGACTAACAAAATATTGAATCTAAGTAGATTTCTATGATTTCATTGTTCATGCCAAGTTTATCTTGAGCTCTGAATTTTTTTTTTTTTTTTTTCAATCATGGTAATATTTAAATAAGTTTATAAAATGTTTCTGCTTTATATTTTCTTATTTATGTGTAGTACTTTCAGAATATTAAACTACACAAATAACATTCTATTCATCATTGGGTAAAGATGGTTTTATTTAAGAAATTTAACATAAAATTCGTCTCTGAATTTCTGTGATGAGGAGTTATCATTTCATCTATTCAGACTAATTTCTTGTTTGTTGTTGTCATAACATTTTGGATTTTGTGCTCTCTGACCTTCTTCAGGTGACTGTGGATGTAGATTGTTTTTGTTCCACTGACCATTCTCATTTTCTTATTTAGTACTACTTGGTTATTGCTCAACCTATTTTCACCGAGTCTCAGTCAGTAATACCAGGTCCAGGGATTTAACTGGGAATTAGTCACCAAGTTCAGAAAGCAATGTTTTAATGTAGAAGGCTCTTCTCCTGTGGGACAACCATTAACCTACTAGAACTTGGTGCCACCTTTTTTTTTTTTTCTTCTTCTTTAATCATTTAACCCCAAACAAGGCAATAAAATCACTAAGACACAGGTGTCACTGAGTGTGAAAGAATTTGAGAAAAAGAAAAACATTACAAGGAAGGACAATGAAAGAACAGAAATTAAGACAGAAGATAACGATTGATATTGCATGTAAATTGTTGAATATCAAAGTTGACTGCAAGACAAGAGGCTGGAAGGGAGTTCCACAAGCAGGAAGTATGAGAGAAGTAACTGTTAGCATATAATTGATGATTACATGTAGGAATTTCAACTGTAAAATAATGAAACCTATTGCTACTGTGCCTAAATTTGTGAAGTCAAATGAAAACATATATAGACAAGAAGCCAGATACAACACAAATAAATAGCATATGGGATTTATTTAATGAAGGAAAATAAAACAATGGCCGAAACACTATGATGATAACAAGATGAAAAGAAACAGTTTCCAGAAGATACTGCTTGAAATGGGTATATTGCACATCTCTGCATAATAGTTGATAAACAGAAAATGAATTTTATTTCTAATACTTTTCTATGTTTTATATGAAAGATATCAAACATTTTTTTTTTTTTCTTTATCTTTGTAGACTGTTCGTTTCAAATCTTATCTCTTGAGTATGGGTATACCCAACCCTGTCACAAGGGAAACTCATGGCACAGGTGATCGATATTATATTCAGCTTGCACATGAATTGAATGATGTTCTAGAAGCACCAATCAATGTAAATATCTTTGCTGTTTTATTCTTATTTTTATTTTTTATTTTTATTTTGTGTGTTTACTGTGTCAAAACTTGTGTACATGTTTGGTTTCATATTATCATAAAATGCTCTTTGCACATCGGTAAAGAAGTTGATGCCATTAAAGCATTTAAAGAAATTTTGGGCAGTATGGTCAGATATTGTTTCATTTTCTTCTGCTTCCCAAATTTTGCAAACAAATTTATAGTATTTGAATCTCACCAATTGTATTTGACATTTTATAATTTTTGAAACAAAACATACAGCTAAATAGCATTGATTTTGATAATATATATGGAAGAAAATATATAGATATATAAGATATATAAATTTTGATAATCCAGAACAATGTTAGGAAATTTTTGTGTGACAAGTTTTGTCTTTTGAGAACTTCATTACACTAAACTGATGTTAATGTAACTGCACATACACATGTGGGGAAAATTGTGAAAATGGCTTACCTTGGAAACGCGTTTGAATCTGTGCAGTGTGCAAACTGCGGTCCTTCCAACGGCAAAAGAAACCAAAATGGCAGCACCCATATTTTATGCCGGGCGGTCTCGGTTAGTTAACGTGAAATCTCGTTGTCTCGTCATTCGCATGCAAATCATGGTCGGTCCGCGGTTGTATAAAGCAGGCTCGTTTTGCTGTTTTGAATTGGAGAGCTTTCGGCTCGTGAGAAGGTTGGACGTGCGACACCGGTTTCTTTTTTTCCTACCTGCTATCATCAGTTGAGTTGTTGTGTTACCTACCACAACACACAAAAAGGAAACTTTAATTTTTTTTTTTTTTTTTTTTTTTTTTTTTGTGCATATAGTGTATCCAATTACACGTATTATATTTTTCTCATCACTTTTGTTATTAAGCATCCCACATTGTGATAATAGATATGCCAAGTTTAGTTTGTTCTAAAGGCAGAAACATGTCACATGAAAAAAAATTTTCCACTTTGTCATTAATTTTCCTAATTACATATAGAGGGTATTCAGGCTACATTTGACAGTTTAATGTTTTTTATTTTTTCAAACTGATTTGGAATATGTAAATGGTGAACAGCATTGTGAAACTAATCACTACAGTTCTAGAAGTGTCAAAGTTAACTGACGTGGATAAATGGAAGCCTCTTTAATATTGGTAAAAGGGATAAAATGCATCATTATGATTTGTGTTAGCAATGAAAATGCTGCAATCATGACAGCTGTTGAATGGTTTTTGAAGAACAGGAAAAAAAAAAAAAAAATGATGTGAAATCGAAAGCTGCAACAGTGACTGTTGCTTGTAGGAAAGAACACGGAAGACGTTCTGATTAGAATTCATTCAAAAACTGCAGTAGAAAGTGATGGAAGACCCAGGCAAGAGAATGCAGGTGCAGGAAATGGGTGTTGCAATTTCCACCATAAAGCTGAATGAGGACCTCCATTACAAGTCATGCAAGAGGTGTAATGGTTAATTTCTAACAGAAACACTTCAAGAAAGCTATGTGACAAAGGCAAAGAAACTCCTGAAGAAGGTTAAATCTCCTATTGAACCAGGGACAATCTGGTTCTTCTCTGATGAAAAAATAATTTTTTGTTAGGACCAGCTGCACCATACTGAAAACAGATGGCTTGTCTACAATCCGTATGATGTTCCTTGTATCATGAAGACCAAGCATCCCAAACTGTGATGGCTTTTGGGTGTTTCCAGTGAGTGATGTCATAGCACATCACATCTTTGAAGAGGGTCCCCTGCTCGATTCAGATGGTTATGTGAAGTTACTGAACACCGTGATCAAGCCTTGATTAGAGAGGGTTGTTGCTGAAAAACCATATGTGGCAGTAAGGTTGGTTCAGTTTTAAGACTTTATTAGCCCCTAACTCAGCTCATTGTAATCGTATGGATTATTGTGTGGGGCATGGTTTAAGAAAGACACCAACTGCAGTGCCTGTAACACCAAGAGGAAGCTGATCGACAGGATTAAGGAGGCATTTGGGGCAATCTGTAGTGACATGGTGAAGTCTGCATGTGTCAGATAGTGGAGTGGGATTGAGGCCATCATAGATGCTGGGGGGGGGTTGTTTTGGTGATATGTTTTAATTACTATAATGTGTATGCCACTCTTCTATTTTGTCAAGAAATTGATTTTTGGCTTAGATATTCACTTTATTTTCATTAACCCCCCCCTCCAAACTGTAAAATGTAAGCTGTACATCCTCATATATGTGTGTGTGTGTGTGTGTGTGTGTGTTTTAATAATGGAATCCTAGTGTTGAAGTATGTATATGAAATAAGCTATGATTTGAAGTTCCTTGAAACTACATTTGATGCAGCATAAGATCTTTATCTTTAAAACTGAATTTCACTGATTGCCAAAATTCCTGAAGGTTTACAATTCAGTTACTCATGATTTCTGTACAAGAATAATTAAAAGAATGTTTGATTGGGATTTATTCTATGACCCATAATGGTAGAATGTGACATTTTGTTTTTTTATTTGCATTCTCTAGCATAGAGTAAATTTTTTTTTTGATTTCTTCTGTAGTTTGTGTTGTTCAGTGAATATACAGCTATGATGGATATGTTGAAAGGTTTTCCTTTCAGTTTAAAAAGAATTATTAAAAGTAGCACAGAACGCATTTGTTTGTCTTGGTCTAGTATCATACACTGCTTTCATTTTTCTTTACACGTAAAATATTGACATTTAACCTGTTTGATATTTTTAAGCACATTAGTTTAATGTTTTAATATTCCATGTCCCAAGAATATTTTATTTAATGTGAACAGTTGGTGGATGATGGTCAGGTGACACCTGTCACTGATGTCTTTCATGACTGGGCAAAGAGTTAATTTTAATTGACTTAACCTCTTTCATAACAGTAGCTTTTTAACTTTTTTTGTTAAATGCCATGATATTTCTTGGGATTGATAGTGTAGTGGTTTCCTGTTGTCTTGTCTATGGTGATTTATTGAGATGCCACCTCCTAATTAGCTGACTGTTGAGTCAAGAGTTCTTCTGCTCTTTGATAGGTCTTACTTTTCATATAACAGGATTAACAATCTGCCTCACTCACAATAACTTGGAGTGTGGTAACTGGTTTAGTTGCTAACCCTCCAACTATAGCATATATACATACCCATATGGACCCTCATAAGTTAGCTTGAGTTTTTAGGTAATAGTGAAAGAGGGTTTCATTCTTTAATATTCAATTGCAGTCAAAACTTGAATATTTTTTTCTTGCTTTTAATCCCTTGTGTCAAAAGGTGGTTGGGGTGATACGGAAGAGACATAACTACAAATGTAAATTATTTAATTTATTTTTTGTTTTTATGAAGTAGTATACAAGTTACAATACCTGCTATTAGAAACATGGAAAATTAATTTAATCTTGTCACAGCAGTTTTTGTTATTTATTTATATATATATATATCTCACTTATTCCAGTGAGATTCTTTAACAGGATCTGTTGTCACTGAAATGAGCAGCAATATTGCAAATATTATACATGAACGTATCTAGCTATGGACAAATATTTATGAAATTAATAAAAAATTAATTTAAATACTTTTTTTTTTATTCATATTTTTGTCTCTGAGGAAAGGTGGGGGTGTACAGTGTCTTATTTTTCTGGTAAGTCACCAAAAATAAGAAAAGCAGCTCTATGGCAGATTTGATAAATTCACATATTAGACAGGGAAGGAATAATATTTCAATCAATAAATAATAATAAAAAAAAGTGAAAATTTTGTTTATAAAATAAAATACTTCAAGTGGTCACAAATTTGTTGGCATTATGAGAAAGTGGCAGTTTTTGGTGCTTATTGAATAAATAAAATTGACTGTACTTTAGTGTAAAGCTGTTTTCTTTAATAATAAACAAATGGTAGATTTAACATTCTGCAAGATGGATTCTGATGAGGAAAAATTGTCTGGCATGATATTTAATAAGATTTTCTAAACTTCAATGAACAATTTCAGTTTGGTCTATATTGGAATGACTGATTTTACCCTTGCCATTAATGGCTTGTGAGATCCATTGAATCATTTCCAAACCAAATTAAGAACTTTGGATTCTACTATGATGACAAAGAGATAGGAAGAAATATAGAGTAAAAAGTTAGTCTTTTGTTGCCTCATTTTGTAAAAGATGTTTCACAATATACTTTTATTTCATTTCCAGGACTGTGGTGGCATGATGACCCTCACAGATGCTTATTGTAGAGTCAACAGAGCACGGGGCATGGAGGTAAATTTTATCATGTATTGTTGGATGCATGGACATTCTGCAGGTATTCAAACCAGTTACCTGATGGTAAATAATATATTGATGAGGCAAGCATTGTACTTGCACATTGGAGGAAGAAAAAAAGAAGTTTATCTTAATGTTAATAATTATTTGAAATAGTCATTTTCTTCCAAGATAATATTGAATTAAAATATTTAGTTTTAGTTTGTATTTTTATTTACAAGTAAATTTTTTAAAATTTAAATGAACAGGTACCGCTTAGTTAAATAAAAACAAGGGTAACAAAATTCATTACTGGAACATTACATTAATAGAAGAAAAAAAAAAAAAAAAAAAAAAAAAGGCTGATACTTTTGTACAACATGATAAATTTTACATGAAGTTGATAGAAGAAAATTTGTAAGTGACAAATTAAGTTAATATCTTCAAGTGGTAGAATCCTTGTTCACGCAGGATTCACGTGATTTTTGTTTGTGTTGAAACAAGGCCTTGGTTAGATAGCATAGTGTATGCGCGCAAAAAGTACATTTTTTTTTTTTTATATATATATATATATATAATTGATGTAAGTGCACATGGTTTTAACTTTTAGATTTTTCTTTTTAATGTGTTTGATTATATAATGTAGCATTAAATTTTCTGCAAGAAAGGTGAAATGTTATAAAAAGTATAAATTTACAGTGGAGGAATATATATTTTTTTTTTTTTTTTTTTTATAAATCAAAATTATGGTCAGTTACTAGTGGTAAAAATCCCTTTTGTGTTCGTATAATCTTATATAAATTGATTTGTAAAGTTAGGAGTGCACTTTTATTTCAGTTTAGAAAGTGTTAGGGAAAAAGTTAATAGAATATCAAATGAGATACTACTTAAAGCCATGATTTCTTCACAAGTTTCAGTCTCTTTATATTTCAGTAGCAGTTGATGTTCTGATAAGTAGAATGTTTTATGTAATATAAAGAAAAGAATTTTGTTTGTATTCCTTACAGTAATATCTATTTGATTTAAAAAAAAAAAAATTCAAGACAAATCTTGATAGTTGATCACTCCAACAAATAAGGCATGAAGGAATTGATTTGATTTGTAATAAAGAAAGCAAGCCATTTTAATGTAACAGTACTTTTATTAAGATCCAAAATTATATATTGGTCAAAAGAACTGTTTGATAGGATAAATTTTGTATATCTTTCAACTCATGAGATGAGTGAGTTTTTGGGTTACTTTTATTTCATAAGTGAAGTTTTATGAAATATATTTGGGAATAGATAATGTGAAAAGCAGTTTATCACATGAATTATCAATTTTACAGTCATGAATTAATTTGCTATTTCTTGCAGGTGTACAAATTTATTGTTGTTCATGCTAAAGCCACTGTGTGTTCATTTTTGTTTGTTTGTTTTTTTTATCCATTTGGTAGTCTTGCTTACATGTTGGGGGAGGATATTATGTTGGAAAAGATGAAGTTTGAAGTAAGTATATAGAATCTTAAAGCTTCATATGACAATAAATAACTGGATTAGTGAAAAGAATACTTGTTAGTAGTAAGAATTTAAAGAAGGAAATTTATACTTAAGACATACTGTTAACAAACAGTTTTATTTGACTTTTATAAGTGTAAATATTTTCTACATGTGCTTGTAATTAATTCAGTTATCATTTTGGTGGATCACCTTCTTTTTATATGAAAATGAACTGCATATTAGTGACATTTTTTCAATTAATATCACATGAGTGAAAATGGATGCAAGAATCCAAATAAATGTGTATAAATGTCTTGGCTTTTAGAAAGTTTAAGAAAAAAAAATAAGTGAAAATTTATTGGAAATTAAAATGCTTATATATAGTTTGAATTGTTATGCACTTAATGTTTTTTACTGTCCTTAATTGAAGCAAGAATTGAAAAATGTTCATATTAGTGGTGTGAAAAGTATTTAATACCTATATTTGTGTTAGTATTACATGTCATGAAGTAATAAATTTTGTCATTTGATAAAGGAACACGCTACAAAGAAAGTTTTTATAAATTCTATGATCTGAAAATGTAAAATTTTTTTTTTTTTTTTTTTTGAGACAATGTAATGTGGACATTTTGTAAAAAGATTTTAAGTGTCATAATTAGAGTAATTATTTTTTTTTACCATCAAAAATTGAAAACCTATTTTTAATTACTTGAACGTAGGATGTTTTTGTTATGAGACTGTATGAAGAAAATATTTGATCAGTTGTCCCGAGGATATTGTGACATCAATATTTTAATCGGAAGTAGAATCTTGTATTTGAATGATTTCTCAAATTGTTTGCAATCTGCATGAGTTTTTGTGGCTTTATCACATGGCTTGGGATGAAATGATTTATTTCATAGAATGTTTACATACCTGAGTACTTAAAATAGTTTCTTTAAGTGTATAATACAGGAAATATATGCATCCTTATCCAAATTTGTTTCAAGAAAGGTACACTTTATCCTTTTCTTTACAGTTAATAATAGTTTTAATTAGATAACAATGTTTTTTTTTTTGTCTTCATACAGCTACTTGCTCCAGAGGATCTTTTACATGCATGTGAAATCATGGAGTCTCTGAAATTAAATATCAGGTATACACTTTGAATTTTTACTAGTACTGTAAATGGTAGATATTTCACAGCAGTCTATTCCTTGTGTTTCCATGTTAACTTCTTCTGTTTGCTCCCCCCTTTTCAGATTCCGGGTGTTTGACAGTGGGGTTATGGTACTACAGAGTCGGTCCCATAATGAAGAGGAAGCAATTGAACAGACTGTAGATGTGGTGAGTCTTCATTTGATCTGTAAGAAGAAAGAAAAAGAGGATTGATTATCCTATGTATGTATGTATGTATTGATTATCTGTATGTATGTCGATTGATTATCCTATGTATGTATGTATGTATGTATATAGGATTGATTATCCTATGTATGTATGTTGATGTATGTATGAGGATTGATTATCCTATGTATGTATGTATGTATGATTGATTATCCTATGTATGTATGTATGTATGTATGTCGAGGATTGATTATCCTATGTATGTATGTATGTATGTCGAGGATTGATTATCCTATGTGTGTATATGTATGTATGTATTGTTATCCTATGTATGTATGTATGTCGAGGATTGATTATCCTATGTATGTATGTATGTATGTATGTATGTATGTATGTCGAGGATTGATTATCCTATGTATGTATGTATGTATGTATGTATGTATGTCGAGGATTGATTATCCTATGTATGTATGTATGTATTGATTATATGTATGTATGGATTGATTATCCTATGTATGTATGTATGTATGATTGATTATCCTATGTATGTATGAGGATTGATTATCCCATGTATGTATGTATGTATGTATGTATGTATGTATGAGGATTGATTATCCTATGTATGTATGTATGTATGTATGTATTGATTATCCTATGTATGTATTATCCTGTATGTATGTATGTATGTATGTATGTGATTGATTATCCTATGTATATGTATGTATGATTATGTATGTATGTATGTATGTATGTGGATTGATTATCCTATGTATGTATGTATGTATGTATGTATTATGTATTATCCTGTATGTATGTCGAGGATTGATTATCCTATGTATGTATGTATATATGTATGTCCTATTGATTATCCTATGTATGTATGTATGTATGTATATGTAGGATTGATTATCCTATGTATGTATGTATGTATGTATGTCGAGGATTGATTATCCTATGTATGTATGTATGTATGTATGTATCCTGGATTGATTATCCTATGTATGTATGTATGTATGTATGTCAGGATTGATTATCCTATGTATGTATGTATGTATGTATTATCCTTGATTATCCTATGTATGTATGTATGTCTATGTATGTCGAGGATTGATTATCCTATGTATGTATGTATGTATGTATTCCAGGATTGATTATCCTATGTATGTATGTATGTATGTATGTATAGGATTGATTATCCTATGTATGTATGTATGTATGTATGTCGAGGATTGATTATCCTATGTATGTATGTATGTATGTATGTCGAGGATTGATTATCCTATGTGTATGTATGTATGTATGTATGAGATTGATTATCCTATGTATGTATGGGTATGTATGTATGTCGAGGATCCTATTATGTATGTGTGTATGTATGTATGTGGATTGATTATCCTATGTATGTATGTATGTATGTATGTCGAGGATTGATTATCCTATGTATGTATGTATGTATGTATCCTTGATTATCCTATGTATGTCGAGGATTGATTATCCTATGTATGTCGAGGATTGATTATCCTATGTATGTCGAGGATTGATTATCCTATGTATGTCGAGGATTGATTATCCTATGTATGTATGTATGTATGTATGTCGAGGATTGATTATCCTGTATGTATGTATGTATGTATGGGATTGATTATCCTGTATGTATGTATGTATGTATGTCGAGGATTGATTATCCTATGTATGTATGTATGTATGTATGTGAGGATTGATTATCCTATGTATGTATGTATGTATGTATGTATGTCGAGGATTGATTATCCTATGTATGTATGTATGTATGTCGAGGATTGATTATCCTATGTATGTATGTATGTATGTATGTCGAGGATTGATTATCCTATGTATGTATGTATGTATGTATGTCGAGGATTGATTATCCTATGTATGTATGTGTATGTCGATTGATTATCCTATGTATGTATGTATGTATGTTATCCTATTGATTATCCTCATGTATGATTATGTATGTATGTCGAGGATTGATTATCCTATGTATGTATGTATGTATGTATGTCGAGGATTGATTATCCTATGTATGTATGTATGTATGTATGTGATT